GAAGAAATTCCCCATGTTTCCATAATTTTTTTATTGATAATTAGCAATGTGCATATGTGACATGAAACAACTAGGTCAGGTATGTCATTCTTTCCCACTTCATTACAATGTTTATTGTAGACATGCGGTTGCAATCTGATACTGGATGGATGCCTGTGTTTCTCTAGCCCAACTTCACAATCCTCCCAAAACTGTTTAAAAACTTCCAGCTTGACAGAGGATAGGGAGAAAAAGGGGAGCAGGGCTGCCAAGAAGTCTTTGTGTTTTTTTTAAGAGTTTCGTTGACTGATAATTACCAATAAATTGTTTTGTTTAATTTTATCAATGCCATGGGCATTTGCTGGAGTGATGTCATGCTGCTCAATTTGCACAACACTTGTTGCAAATAAAATCTCCCTTACATTCATGCCCAAAAGTTGGCCACCCTATCAGATAGCTTAGATCTCAAACATATCTTTCCTTCCCCTAATAAGGGAAAGTAATTGGAGAAGCTAAATGTGTGGAAACCATGGAAGACAAAAAATCAGTGCCTCTCCTCCTAGGATTCTTTGGACCTCATCACAGGTATTTTTTTGCAGCATCCTAAGGCACTGCCAGGATGGAGCCTGATGGAGCCCTTCACACAACACAGGCTACTTCTGGCAAGACTCCATTCTGGCTCCATCCTCGAAGTGTCCTAGGACAGATCCCAGAGAACATGGCAGGCTTCCCATGTTCTTATTAGAATGGGGATAGTGTTGGGGGAAGCTGGGTGGCAATGCTTTCTCCTGTGTGGTGGGGAAAGTGGTGATGCAGGCAATACAGGGTGTGGGACAATGGTTTACCCCCTTGCCCCATGGATTCATTATGCTGCCCAGCAAGTCCCCCCACTGTCACCCACGTTTGGAACTTCCTTGTGATGGGGTCCTTTGTCAATGATGGCAGTTTCAGTGAAAAAAATAACAATAACAGCAGTAGTGTTGAACCATGACATGCATGCCAGAAGGGGCACACAGTGTCCTCTCTCCAGGCACACAACCAATCCCAACAAAACAGAGGTCCGCCTGGTCGATCGTAAGCTGGATCGGGGTATAGGGTGGCAACCTGTGCTGGATGGGGTTGCACTCCCCCTGAAGTCACAGGTCCGCAGCCTGGGTGTCCTTCTGAACTCATCACTTACACTTGAAGCTCAAGCGTCAGCGGTGACCGGGAGGGCCTTCGCACAATTAAGACTCGTGCGCCAGCTGCAACCATACCTCGTGAAGTCGGATCTGGCTAGGGTGGTCCGTGCCTTAGTCACCTCCAGATTGGACGACTGTCATGCACTCTATGTGGGGCTGCCCTTGAAAACGGCCCAGAAATTTCAATTGGTACAATTTCAGTTGGTACAACAGGCGGCAGCCAGGTTACTAACTGGTGCTTACAGAAAGCGATCAACCCCCCTGTTTAAGGAGCTCCATTGGCTGCCATTCATTTTCCGGTCCCAATTCAAGGTGCAGGTTCTTACCTACAAAACCCTGAACTGTTTGAGACCTGCCTACCTGCGTGACCGCATTTCTTTGTACAAACCCACATGATCTCAGGCGCAATTGATGGGGACGAGGGAGAGAGCCTTCTTGGTGGTGGCTCCCCGACTCTGGAACTCACTTCCCAAGGACAGCAGCCATGCCCCAACATTGGCAGTCTTTAGGAGGAGCCTGAAAACATGGTTGTTCCAGTGTGCCTTCCTAGAATAAGGAAAATTCCCAGCAATATGTCCTCACAATGCACTTTACTATTGGTTTAGGATGGACTGCRCTCCCTCATTTCTTTTAAAACCCTATACCAGATATTTATTTATTTATTTATTTACATCATTTATATACCGCTTTTCTTAGCCAATCACCCATCCCTTGTTTGCTCACCCGCTTGCCTGCTCCCCTGCTTGTCTGCTTTCTGGATCCCCCCCCCACTCCCCCTCTCCCCCTCGCCATACCCCTCAAGTGCCCAACTCCCTGCTCCCAGTTTGGGCACTCCATTTCTAAACGGTTCACAATCATTGAATTAGGATATGCATATATTTTGCATTCCATTAGTTGGACCATGAACTGCCCCAGCCACAATCGTGTTTGCAATATGCTGATTCAATGCCYGGCAACTGGTCACATGCTTTGTATCCTACTGACTACAGACTATGGTGGACATGGATGATAAGGGCAGAAAAAAACCACAGTCAGCTTCCTCCCTCCCTCCCTCCCTCCCTCCCTCTTTTCTTTTTTTGGCCACAAGCACTTCAAAAGCAGCGGCACACACATGCTTTTCCTTTCACTTAGTCTGCAACACTAATATAAAATGTACATGTCYTAGGCATGTCTTATTGTATGTTCTTGCATTGCATGCCCTCCAGCATGTCAGAGATGGAAACTGGGATGCCTGTGGCCAAGAATGAAGCCACTAGATTGGCTTTTTAGTTGTTATTGTATTAATTGAATGTTTTAACTATTGTGGTTATTGTTGTTATGTATTTTATCTGCTGAATTGTTGGCATCAAATTGTGCCGGTTGTAATCTGCCCTGAGTCCCCCCTAGGGGATTGAGAAGGATGGGGTAGAAGTGCCCAAAGTAAACAAACAAACAAATAAATAAATAAGAGTGATAAATGAGGAAAAACACTGAGGTAGAAGATGCCAGACATTTTGTTTTTGTGTAAGAACAAGGTTCTGTGTCCCACTGCTTTGCTCTGTTGAATTAACTAACCACCTCATCAGACGGCCAGCAGCAGAAGGGGGAAATGGTCTGTTTCGCAGTGAGGCATGGAGAATTTGGCACCCCCATGCCTCACATCGCCTGCCTTGCTGGGAGGGCAATCACATGGAGGAAAGTGTGGAGTGCATGGCTTCCCCAATAGATTGGGCAATCAGGGAAACCTCCCATGTTGCCAGGGCAATGGCAGCACACTGGTCCTGCTCCTCTGCACCCACAGACCCAGCACAATGTCATTTGATGGGAGCCGGCCGGTTCTGTGGGTGACTGAGGCTAGATGTTTGCCACTGAATCTAGCCCCATTTTATGAGTTTGTTACTGCAAATTGATTTAACATTTTGAACTCAGTTTGCAGCAGCTGAAGTAAATTGAGGACAAAGGGGGAAGTGGGAGGAGGAGAGAGAAACAGGTCATTTTACAGGCAGCTGTGGTTAGGGGCACAGGTATATGAATAAAGAAAATGGGATTTTTTTTACTTGAGAGAACATCTTTCTAGGAATTTCTAGGTCTTCTGGAAGCTGACAAGAGAATTATGGGGCCCTTCCACACAGCCCTATGTCCCAGAATATCAAGGCAGGAAATCCCTCATTATTTGAGTGTGGACTCAGATAACCCAGTTCGAAGAAGATATTGTGGGATTTTCTGCCTTGATATTCTGGGATATAGGACTGTGTGGAAAGGGCCACATTGGAGGATCCAGAAATTACTAAAGATGTGCTCTCTCTTTGATTTCCTAGGTGCTCCAGCATGGCTGGAGGAAGTTGACCAAAGGGTCTCATTGGGGAATCTAGAGATTCTTAGAGAGAACATTTTTGATCAAACTAATGAATAATCAAACCCACAAAAGTCAAACCCACAAATATGGAGGGATAACTGTAGTTAAATGATCCTTGCATGAAGCAGAAGTGTGGATTAGTACTTTGAAAGCTTTCTCATATGGAAGCAGTTTTCCCCCCTAACCTGTCAGGGTTTGTTGAGGATTTTTGTACCTATCAGTTACAACCATTGTTTTCTTTCCTGAAAAATTTGCTGCTAGCCACCAGTACACAGATCACCACATTAAGTAACATGGGTTGAGTATGAGTATCCCTTATCTGAAATGCTTGGAACCAGAAGTGTTTTGGATTTCAGAGTTTTTTCCTGGTATATCTATATTTGTGTATATTTACATAATGAGATGAGACCCAAATTTAAACATAAAATCCACTTATGTTTCACATAAACATTATGCACATAGTCTGAAGATAATTCTATACATTATTTTTAAAAATATTGTGCACATGTACATTGAACCATCAGAAAGCAATGCTGTTATTATCCCAGCAAGCCATGTGGACAATTTTGGAATTTGGAGTATTTTGGAATACTAGATAAGTAAAACTCATCTTGTATTGGGCTAAATGATGTCCAAGTTCTCTTCTAACTCTAAATCTTGATGGTTATTTGAATCTGCCAAGTAGTCCAGCAGTGTTGATGTTGATGTTTGTTGTTGCTGTATGTCTTGTCAACTTTTGGTGACTCTATCATAGGGTTTTCTTGTCAAGATTTATTCCAATGAGGTTTGCTGCTGCCATCCTCTTTCTCAGGTAAAACACTTGGCTTTAAAGGGCATTTTATTACGTTTATTCTCCATTATAGAATCATAGAATCATAGAATCAAAGAGTTGGAAGAGACCTCATGGGCCATCCAGTCCAACCCCCTGCCAAGAAGCAGGAACATTGTTTCATTAGAGATCTCGATAGTTCTATCTGTGCATAATTATGCATATTGATGTTATTATAAGCAACAATTCTGCAAATTTGGTTAGACTGAGAAACAGTTATTGATCCAGGAGAACCTAACTGGCTCAATGATACTTGGATCTCCCAATTTCTAGCCCAACACTACAATAAGTACTGAATTTAGTCTCTCCAGCACTGCTCGTAACCTATCAAGCTATATTCAGCTCCCTAGCTATCTGTGACAGCCCACCAGAGTCTTGATAAACACATCTGTCCAATCTGTTTGAAAGCACAAAAATACCAGTATTACCAATCTCTCCATAGACCAGGCATCTGCTGCATTTGACTTGCTGAGCTGCAAACTGGAAGCCACCTGCCAAGCTTAAAAAGATTTTATCCAGTTTCTGAGTGCCTTAGACTGTTGGCTTTGCAAAGATATGAAACTGAAATGTGGGCATAAATCACTCAAGCAGTTTGCAGAGCAGCCTTCTTAATGTTTCTTCTTTTTTATCAGCTTCCATGAAACAGTGAAAACAATGAAAACATTTCTGCACTTACCATGGCTGTAGAAATTCTCTAGTGCACTCCCAACCCTGTTGAAGAGTGCAGTGTTACAAGACGAAGGCTTTCTTTGCCTTTTGCCTGGAACTTCCTATTTTCAAAGTGTCAAGTGGTTTTTATCCAGCCTTTGTAGGAAAATTCTAACAGTACCATTCATTGTTTGCATATTGTGAGCCGTCATTTAACAGAGCTTGTAGCAGTAACTTGCAAAATACTCTGTAGAACTGTGAGGCCAGAAGGCAGAAATATTGGGAAATCCATGTACATGAGTGAGGAGAACATTCACAGAAATGAAGGGTATTACATTAATACACTTCCTGCCTATGAATTCTCAGTTCAGTCTTGAATGTTGAAAACCCATGTAATTTTCACTTTATTTATATTTTATTTCAGCACCTGCACCCTATTTTTCCAGCAAAGAGTGCATTGATACAAGGCTTCTATTGAGCAATTGTCTACCCATTTACCTACATTTAGGATTAAGGGGCTGGACATTTTCACTTGTAATCCTCCTGTCTTTTCCTCCTCCTTTTCCTCTCACCCTCTCAGCAGAAATCCCATGGAGAATATAGAATAGCTGCACAATGTCTTTTGACTGATAGTGCTAGGAGCCAAAGACACAGAAACAAAAGTAAAATCATAGGGTGCAGCTCTACTACACATTTAGAGCCAGTTGATACCACTTTCTCTGCCATAGATCTCTATTATAGAATCTGGGATTTGCTGTTTGATGAGTTCAATGGACGTCTTTGCTGGATTACAACTAGGAATCATAGTTGAAAGAGACAAGGGCCATCCATTCCAAACCTCTGCCATGATTTGGGACCTCATTGTCAGAGAATTCACAAAATTACAAATTCTACGATTCCATACAATGGAAACACAGGAGTTATCAAAGTTTAATGAATAGTAGTGTAGTGTGGGGAGCCCTGGTGGTTAAACCATTGAGCTGCTAAACTTATTGACCATAAGGTCGCAGGTTCGAATCCGGGGAGCAGCATGAGCTTCTGCTGTCAGCCCCAGCTTCTGCCAACCTAGCAGTTTGAAAACATGCATATGTGAGTAGATCAATAGGTACCGCTTTGGCAGGAAGGTAACGGTGCTCCATGTAGTCATGCCAGCCACATGACCTTGGAGGTGTCTACGGACAACGGTTTAGAAATGGAGATGAGCACCACCCCTCAGAGTCAGATACAACTGGCCTTAATGTCAGGGGAAAACCTTTACATTTAC